AGAGGGAATGGCCTCAAGTTGCACCAGGGAAGGTTTTGACTGGATATTAGGAAGCATTTCTTTACAGAACGGGTTGTTAGGCGTTGGAATGGGCTGCCCAGGGAGGTGGTGGAGTCCCCATCCCCGGCGGTGTTCAAGACTAGGGTCGATTTAGAGCTTAATGATATGCTGTAGGTGGGAACTGTGCAAGGTGAACGGTTGGACTAGATGATCTCCAGGGTCCTTTCCAACCTAGATGATTCTGTGAAAGCAACTGAATTAGAGCAGTTCAAGCAAATTTTGCCTGCTCTGCTTTCATGTGAGACACTAGAAGAGTGGTTTGATTTGGCTTCCTTGGATTACATCTGAGATGTCTGCCCAAGGCTAGCAGAAATGATCCAGGCTTCAAAGATGATCCACATCCTGGTGGAACAGCAGCACGAGGTCAGTTAGGTCATCAAATGTCATTAAATACCTATATTCAGGCAACCAATACAGTGAAGGAAAGCAACCAGTGATGCTTACTGCAAAGTAAAACAGATTAGTGTACACTGCAGTAAGCAATACTGTATTACATAGCTTCTAACTTGATTCTCTGAAGTTGTCTGGCCATCTCTGACTACTGAGACAAATTAGAAGGGGGAGGACAGAAAGAAATCATGGACACCATGATTTTACTGATAGATGCTAGCATACACCATCATCCCCAGCATGGAATTGGGCTAATCGTCCAACATAAGGTCATCTCTACCTGTCATAAGTAAGGATCATTGCATAGTACAGCCAGTACCTAGTATTATCCTTTCTGCTTTAGTCCATTTTTCTTCTTGTAATGTAAAAATATTCTTTGCAAAAATGTGGGTGTTTTGGGGTTTTTTGGTTGGGCTTTTTGTTGATTTTTTTTTTCCAGAACTTTCTTTAAAACATTTTGGGCATCATTTTTCCATAGTTTACAGTAATGTAATTGTGAGGGCTAACATAATTTTCAAACACATTAAAGGAATCACTGAATAGGTTTTAAATTATGCAAGTTAAAAATGTTAGTGGTCTTACATATAATTTATCCACTGATCACTAGAAATCTGCATTGTGTTTTAAATTAAGAGCTATTTTGTCTTCTGTGTTGAGATGCTATTTTTATACTCTGACATCTACTGCACGAATAATAAAGTTATTAATGTTTAAAGTCCTAACCTTTTTCACTGGGCACACTGCATTATGTGATTATGCAAAATTCATTGACATGAGAGATGTTCATGTTTAAAAATGCATGTTTAAAACACATTTTTATGTTGGAAAAGAAGGAAAAAATGATCTGGGATAGAGCTTACTCTTCTATGCTTTTCTGCCCATTTAATAAAATAATTGTAGGGAAAAGAAAGAACATTTAAGAAGTTGAGTTAGAATATTCTGCTCTCTTCTTCCTGCGTCATGTGTACAAACCCCAAGGAACAACAATGAACAGAAACCATCCCGTGGCCAGGAACATTTTATAAAAGGCACAAGCTGTAGGAACTAACTGACCTGCAGTGAGCTGATGAACTTCATGCCAAGCTTCATCCTCCCAGCTACCAAAGCACTCTGCACTCTCATTCTCTCTGGAGGCCAAACACCTCCCATGCTAAAACACTTAGAATACAGCAGAAAAATCAGAGTTTAGGAGGAGAAAATTATGTGACTCTAAAGAGGAGATGAAACAGCTGTGAGTTTGTCCTCCCTCCACTAATCAAATAATCTATCCTGCAACCAGTAATTCAGCAGGCAGACTTCACTGGCAGAGAGGCTGAGCCCTGCACACACAGTTAGCTGGAATTTTCCACTGCACATATTATTTTAGGAAAATTCAAACAATCATGTACTTAGAATAAACCCCTTTTACTACACGTGCTAAAGGTCTGACCTGGCATATCAGCTGAAGGCCTGCACTTGAACTTACAAATCTATGAGATTCTGATCTCAATATCTAAGTACATGAATTTATTGATGCCCAATATCTAAACCACTTCCACTTTCCACATCAACTAGCTTAGACCTACCTTATAACTGACAAAAAAGGAGATAAAATTTTAATTTTTCTAACTTTCCAACAACTACAAAGCATCTAAAGGTATTTTAGGTTTAAAACATGAAAATAAATTTCAGTTCTTGGCTTCTAACTGAAGACCAAGGAAACTACAAGCTACATGATTATTACTTTAGAAATTAATGAGTTTACTAAACTAAGGAGATAATATTATATTAAGTGTGAGCTCTGCATGATAAAGACCACTAAGAGACTTGCAAAGGAATACTTTTCTATGGGATTCAATCTTCTCATGATAAAGCCTAGAAATGCTGGTATAATCAATATTTTAAAAGGCAAAATGGTTTTCAGGATTTGATTCCATTTAATTGTGGTAACGTTCCTCTAGCATGGCTTGCTTCAAACTCCCATGCCATGTGGCATAGGTTATTTTCCCCTTTTAAGATGATACAGGCTGGAGTTGCAGTAATGACATAGGTTTGTGGAGGGTGATGCACTCTGCAGTTAGTGATGATGTGAGTTCTGGCAGCACTAGTTTTCTATTCTACTTTTAGCCATTGGGAAGAGAACAAGATAAGGCTTGATTTAGAATGGGATTAACTGTTTTTTACAATTTTTAAATATAATTAATAAAAAAAAAAAGTTGCAAATGTTTACAATGATTATATTATAAATGGTGGACTGTAAGTTGCCATTTGTACCTCTTCTATAGTTAGACAATGAGACCGGCAAATCCTTCTCAGGCTGGTTATAAATGTATGAGAGGTCTAGAAGTGTCACTCACACCTTTGGGAACAAAAACCTGGTGGTTTTGGGAGCAAATGCCTGATGGACAGGAATAGGATCATGAAAGCAAACACATTTTCTTTGGGGATTTACTTCAACATTGAAAATAATGAAAATCAATGAATCTTTTGGCTTCATTTCCTGGCCTGATCTCCTTATGCATTGAAAGCCCTTTTTCATTTTATCTATTTGGTCAGCTTCTACTGTTCTTTCACATGTATTCATGTATCTTCTATGAACTAAGTGGAAATGCACCAAAAAATGCTCTTTGAAAAGAGGAGGAGAAAAGTTAAATGCTATTGATAGTGAACTTCCAATCCCTTCCAATACCATATACTAAAGCCTGTATATATTTAACTGCATATTATTCTTTGGCAATAAGAATCTGACAGTGCTTAGCTTACTGGGTTCTAATATGGCTGATACTTTGTTATCAAAAAATATCAAACCAAAATACATTAGACTTCAAAAATTATTCTAGGCATGCAAAATTAAACCTCATGATATAGTTGCAATTTTATTATCTGTATTTTTAAACTATTCAAATCAGCTAGAGTTAGCTGTGCAATCCAAGTTGCTTTTGATTCTTCCCATAGTAAATGGAAAGAGACAGAAATATCTAGGAACAATTCCTTTTTCCTCTTGCAGATGCCTATTTTACAATAAAATAAATTAACAGGTATCCAACTCTCACCGCTTACAGAATACTATCTAACTTTGGAGAGGTAAGTTGAGGTAAGATGAACCCTGCTTTCATGCTGGGTCCATTAACACATGCCTGGCACAAGAAGCATGTATGAGGAATAGGGATTTTCCACCTCCATGTAAAAATGCAGTTTTGTCTGTCAGGGAGTACCAGGTTTATACGAATTTATCACCTAGATTCGTTTCCCCTCACAGAGCTTGAAAAGAAGAAAACTGGCTCAGCTTGTGGGGAAACATAAGCTGTCTTTCATGCTGAGGTACGTTTTACCTGCTCCTGGGCACAATCACTTCAAAGCCTTCCTAGACTGAATGTTGTGGTATGTATAATATCTCACAACACCAGCCTGCACGTTAAAAATAGAATTTAACCCCAAAGGGGCCTGAATACTGATACAACATATTTCAGCAGCTTCTGTAGTGGGCCTCCGTAATACAGCTATAATAACTGAAGCACTGAAACAAAGGTTAAAACATTTTCACACAAAATGTGAGATTACTTTGATTTTCTAAACAGCTTGATTTAGTGGGAGGTTAATAAGGTGTGGAAATTGTTTATTCGGGTCTCATTTAATGCTCAAAATTGTGTCAGTGAATTAAAGCCATCATAAGCCAAAACAAAATTAAAAATACAGATGTTTTGTTGATCATTTAACAGTCTTTAACTCCCGAGCCTCTTTTTGCATTCAGAAAAAAAATCACAATCAAGTCAGCTGAGATGCCGTATTTTAAATGCAGGTGATTTGTCACTAGATCCGACCCCAATTTTCACTCAGATGCGAGACAGTGACCTACAACAACAAGTTTTCACAGGGAAAGTTATACTGATATTGACATTCATTAAATCACTTTCCAGTACGGTTCTAAGCAGAGTCACATTCTAGGTCATGTGTGGGCCATACACCTATTTCATCATGCATTATTAAAAAAAAAATGTCACAGCTAAGGTGCCGATATTATTAACTTGGTAAAAAAGCAATTAAAATCTTCAAAGAGTGAACTTTCAAATAGCGCAGCAACACTTAAATGTCATATTTCTGTTGCAAATGTATTTTTAATGATAACATTTCTTTGTAATGTAAATCAGCCTCCTCTCAATTATAACATGTTAATCAAGTTATTTCTCAATTGCTGCCTACCCATCAATGCCTCCAAGTCCATCACATGTCATTCTGTAAAAGCATACTAATTACTTGATTATATTTTAGTCGAGTTTTGCAAATCCAACTATTTTCTTCAAGACTGCATATTATGTGCAGATTTGTCTGTTGGCAGGGAGGGGAGAGCAGAAGACACATTTGCATCCTGCAACTTCATTCTAACTGAAAATCCCTCAGAGTACCTTAGCATGCAGGATTTGATCCCAGAAACTGGAGAAAAGGAAAAATGGGTGCCCATGTACTGCTTCCTAATATGTCATGCACATACTACTCCTGGTTGACATGTTTGAGAGGGGTAAGGAAAAACACAAGGTTGATATGAATATTTAAGAATGATTCAAAGCGTATACCTCAAATGCAGAGCAGGATTTGATTGGGTAGACGTAAATGTTGGTGACAGTGATGGGCTTGCCACCTCTTCTACATGTTGGTACTGCAGTCTCAGAAACAGCTGCCCTTATGCTTTCCGCCTCAGCCTCTGGTGGCTGCCAGTTGACAGTCATCTTTGTCACAGACGAATTATTCCTGAGTTCCCTGTCTGAGATGTGTGGTATTGGAGACAATTTATCTGCATTGTTAAAGGAAGGGTGGTCATCTGGGACAGACTCTGTTGTCAGCTTTGTAACAGAGGACTGGAAGGGAATCTCGGTGTCTGACATGGAGAGCCTGGTGGCTATGATGAATTTCAAAAAAGTCTGTGCATCTTCAAAAGAAGACATGTAGCCAAAGGATATTCTCACAGAACCAGTGGGACGTCCATCAACTAGGTCTACATCATCTCCACAGACATGGCCAGCCTAATTTGAAATAGGAAGAAAACCAGAGAGCTATTATGACAAACTTTGTTTTATTTGCCTCTAATTTTACATAGTTATTAACAAGTCTCTTAATTCTAACCTGAAAAACTGTTCTCAGAAGTATCATTCAAAACTCATGAGTACAAAGCTAAAATGGGGAAAAAAATCCCAACTATTTTAGTAATTACTCAAGCTGGGAAGAAGATAATTTTGAGATGCTTGTCCTGTTCTACCCTAAGGCAAGAGAGACTTCTCAAAAACATGTATGTCGAGAAGCAAAAAAAGTCTGTATGTCCCAGGATGGCCTGTTAGGTAGGACAGTCTCCAGGTATATTCCAGTCTCATCTGCATAGTCTACTGGGATTTAAGATGGGATATTACATTCAGATGAGTGAACAAACCATGAGATTGCTGATTTTTCTGGGGCAGTTGTCTTGATATTTTCTGTCAGAAATTTAATTTTATACTATTAACGGTTTATTCATGGTTTGTGTTAAATAGTCCAGTGGATAGCTATACATCTGAGAACTGGTCTGGGATTTTAGCAAAGCAGAGACTTGAATCTAGAGCTCCAACATCCAAAGTGACTTCCCTCATCATCAGGATATGCAGTAAATCTCTCTTGCTGATCCACTCAGGATGGAAGGAACCAGCCTTCCCCTAACATTTCTTCCTTTGAAGAACACGGGTTGCCACTCATGAAAAATCTTTGCTGAAAAACGCTTCAGATACCCTAACAGTGACCTCTACATAGATACCCCTTCATTTGATATGTCTTTCATAGAGCATTCTCTGGAAAACTCTCCCTTAGAGCAGAAGTTTCTCCTTCAGTAAGTGAGTCAGTGAATGCTGTCACTCACCCCCAGTGACATAAGCCAGAGACCCCCTTTGTTCATCCATCTAACATTATCTCACCAATGGACACAAGATTTAGTCCTAAGTCAGCATCTTTATTCCTGAAAGTGCAGCAGCTGTTTTCTTTTTTCTCAGAATTTAATTTATTTACGCATTTCTGTTACATGAAAATGTAAGTGTGAATAGATTATTTACATGAGGGCTTTTTTAAGCAAGAAATGTCACAGTTCAGTGAACACAGATGTCATTTATGCAAGGAGAAATTTAAAAAAAACCCAAACCACCTCTATGGCAAAGCATGCAATACAGTAGTAAATATTTTAATGCAGCGTGATGTAGTTTTTATCCTTGACAATAGAGTAGAAGCAACATTTGCAAAATTAGGTTGCATCTGTTCATATACATATAACCCTTCTGCCAAGTACTGACTGATTGACTGAAGAGAGAGGTGCCTGCTTTGCAAGTAAGTAAACGAGTTTCTACTAACATCCTAAGAAAACTAACCACACTTTTCCAGGGACCCTTTAGGACAGAAAGTCCTCCCTTACAGGTATTTTATACAATGAAATCTTCATCAGGGAAGGAAGAATACAGTCAGCACCCTGAGAAAAGGCAACAGCAAAGCATATGTGCAAATAATGTGATAAAATATGCTTTTCCCTACATGGTAATGTTGTCAATAACTCATCCTTCTCAGTCTTTCTCATTCTTCTCAAAGGACTGATGAGAATGTCACAAGATAATGACTGCTTGACTGCACCACCTCATCATACCACTTTGGGCAGATTAAATGGCTCTTTATAAGTTTGGGTTTGGCCTATCACCATTGAAATGTTCAGATTTATTAACATGATACAAACCTATAAGAGCCATCCACTCCTTAGAAAAATCCTCCTTATGTAAAGAGATCCAAGAGCATTGTAGCTGATCATTTGGCATTTTGCATTTTATCAGAAAGGTGGACCTTTTTTTCCTTTCTCAGCGTATCTTGGGGAACACGCTCCCCCTCAAAAATTCAAGCATCACTCACCTGCTTTTAGACAGATTATGCATGAGGAGGCTATGGACATAGAGCTTTCCATGGTAAATCAAAACAACATTTTGCCAAGGAAGGTGTAAAGTGCTCTCCCCCCTTTAAGAATTTGTGCTATCAATCTTGCACATAAATGTGTTTGCAAAAGTTATCTAAATGACTCTGTGAAATTTTAAGTGAGCTATAATATCAATACAGCCATTATAATTTTTTATCTTTTGCAGAATACCATTAATAAAATTTTGGATTGTTCTGTATTAATTTACTGTAATCTCAAACACTGAAAAATATGCAGGCTTGAAGCCTCCTCCACTTCATTGTAATATATTCTGCTACACATCTTTTAATGTCAATTTGTGGAAAATATTAGTCATCTAGAAAACAGCCTTTACATTCATGTTCTAACAATCTAACACACCAGTAATCTAGGTAGATATCATCTAGTCTCATTCACTCTCTGAGATTCACCGTGTATTCTCATTATAGTTTCTTGTCCAATTTTTGCATGCCTTTTAAACTGTAACCTCCAAAGCAACAGATCTATAACACTTCAACATTATTAAGTATCATTAAGTATACTTAAGGAACAATACGAGATGAATTGTCCAGGAACTTCCATTCTGCAGGAAGTTTGGATTTCATGTAACTCCAAATCAGAACAAGAAGTCACAAGTTCGTATTTTCCAATGAAATAAAAACAAGCAACACATACTACTTTGGGTCCATCAAATGATTTTGTTTCGACAGCCCATTTCAATGTATTGAATTTCAGTTAATTTAGTTCTTTAACATGGCAATTGACTTGAAAGGTCAGGGAAAGTAAATCAGATTTACCTTCATTCTTAAAGTCTCAGAGACTCAGAACCACCTACTTTAGCTTTTAACTAATTAGGGATTTTTTTTTTTTTTGATACAGAGACAGATTTTCTTTTCCCCTTCAAACCTCCTATCCTTAGGAAATTCAGAACTGATAGCCAGAAGATGTCACCTGGGTCACTGATTCTAGGTATTTTCCACAGGCAATAATATATCCTGTAATCTCATCCAGAAACTAACCTGAAGGTTCCTTTGGATGTCCTCATTGCTTATACCCAAATGCAACTGGCAGGCTCCTGTATTACAGAAGCAACCTGTGCGGACATGTATGTTGTAAAGGCTGGCCATCTTGTCCACCTTCCCAATTCAGCAGGAGATAAGACATAGGAGAAGAACAAAAAATTGACATTTTAATGTTGTGGTAAATGACATACAATGTTTTAAAGGTACAATTCAATTGAAGGTAAATTACATCTCTAAATTATTAACAACTTACTGTAGCTTCTAGAATTCCCATATACATTTAAAATTTTCCAGCCTTGTTATTCAGCTGAAAGAAAACAATGGAGGAAGCAGAAATGCTTACCTTGGCATTGAGAGACAGTGCACACAACACACATGCACACATGCGCACACACAGAGCATACCAGTTCAGGTCTTGATCCTGTTAATAACAGTATGTGTGCTTAATTTTAAACCTGTGAACACATTCATTCACATCAGTAGTGCTAATTACCAGCCTGCAGTCAAGTGTCATTCAGTGTGTCAACAGAACCGTCACCTACAACTGCATCTGCAGAGATTGAAGAGAGGCCTGGGGCACCTCTTCAGCTAGCTAAAGAAAACCTTGTTTTCCAAGGATCTGAAACTGCAAGTCCTCATTACAGAAACAGACTGTATCTGTGGGATTTTGGCACACAGGTGCTTGAAGAATCAGTCCTTCAGTAAGCAGCAACATCTGACAGGACAGGGACTAACTAGAATACCTCCTTGAGCCTTCTATGTATGACCGCTCAGTCCACCAACTCTCTGGTGGACTTTTTCCTCGTGCTTTGCTGTGCTGTTCTGTGTTATACTATTTCTTTACTATCCACTAAATAATGAATGGGCAAAAATACAGTACTTGATGACAAACTGGCATAAATAAATTATGTGAAGGAACGAAAAAGATGTGCAAAAAGAACAGAAGCACATGTTTATATGTGCCTTGGAAGGAGATACATATATGCATGTACTGGCAGGATGGCACTGGCAGGACAGCACTGCAGAGAAGAGATATGGATTGTCAGGGTTTCAGAGCACAGCTAAGAAACAATGGAAGCACACCATGGGGATCCTCTTAGCACAGCTAAGAAACCACAGAAGCACACTGCAGGGATCTGAAACTGCTTTATGTTGATTTCAAAAAGCAACAACAGCAGCTGGTAAGGTTAGCTGAGCAGATACAGCTATGGGCAATTATTTTCTTGACAAAAAATGATGAACATTCTTGGTCAGGACTGGGAGAAAGGACAGTCAGATTGTCAGAAAGGTAGTATGAAACCTGGCACATCCCATCTCTACCACAGACTTCCAGAACAGCCTCACACAAGCTGCATTAACCTCTTTGTGCTTTTGCTCCTCTTCTGCAAAATAGAGAGCCTAGAGCTCTGATAATAATCACGCTGCAGAGTGAGAGGACCCCACCACGCCAGTGACACAATCCCCCTTGCAGGGTGCTCAGGCTTAGCTATAAGCAGAGAAACAGCTAAGCCTGAATAATCAGGAATGGAACTCCTGACCATCTCAAACTAACCACTTCCCAAACTATGAGCTCACGCTTTATCTGCCTGAGGTATCAGTGTAAACATTCAACCTAGCTTTTCTAGCTGGGTTAATCTCTATTAGTGCTTTTTTCTTTTTATTTTTATTTTTTTTTTTTTAACATAAATTCTCTTTCTATAGGATAATAGCCCAATATACGTAGCAAATAATTTCTGTCATAATTAAGCCTATCTTCTGTCTCCTATTTTCTGAAATTATCAATTTTCCAATGTCAGTCTATCTTCTGACACCTCAGAGTTTGTGTGAGATACCAAGCACCTTTAACTTCACTATTTCAGCACTTTGAAAAACAGAGGGCGCTCTATTATAACTGACTCCAGGCTGAAATAATTAAACCTAAATAGTGTTTAGCTCTGCTAAAAGAAGTTCAAACTGCTTTATGGTTTGGGGTTTTTTTTGGTCACGTATGGAGCACAAGGTACTTGACAAAAAAAGGTGCTGTATACACAGATGAAATACTACATTATAGTGCACAAGTTCTCAAGTACACACTTAAATATCTCCTGCCCAAATAGTTCAGTTCAAAATGGTTCAGTTCTCAAATGGAGATACAATCAAAATAACTCCATATATCCAGACTGGGAAAGCAGAGAATAGAATCAGTCCCGAGATCCCTGTTCACGATTAATGCCTTGGAAAATATCCTGTGTTTAAAGCATGTTTCTCAAATCAAAGTTATAGTAAAAGGCATCTGTTGAGAAAGACTGTTGTGGTGTCATTAGCTTTGTTTTGTCAGAAGACTTCAATCTGAGAACAGTGACATTTTCTTGACTTCTTTTTTCATTTAGATGAGAAAAGTTGTCATTCTGGCATAACATGGTTTGTCATGGTGCTAGTGACTCGTGGGTGGATCTATCATTCCGTTAATGATGTCAAGCAAAGAAAAAATCATGACAGATACTTCACTACTGAATTCGTACAGTGTTTGGGCTTATTTGCTCAGTATACAAAAAGCTTTAACATACATAATCTTCTTATTATCTTTTGAAGAAACGTTGCTGGGGCAGCCTTGCTTATCAAAGTGAATGTTGTGTAATCAAGTTTCCATAACCCAACTTCAAGGAATTGCTAGCATGAATTGCTGGAACTGTCAGTGTTAGGTTAATGGTTGGACTGGATGATCTTCAAGGTCTTTTCCAACCTAGACAATTCTGTGATTCTGTGAGTTACTTAATTTTGTCAAATAAATTATTATTTGACGCCCATCTATAAGAAGGGTCAGAAGGATGATCCAGGAAGTTACAGGCCTGTCAGCTTGACTTTGGTGCCCAAGAAACTGATGGAGCAGCTCATCCTGAGTACCATCATACAACAGATGAGGGACAACCAGATGCTCAGGCCCAGTCAGCATGGGTTTATGAAAGGCAGGTCCTGCTTGACAAACCTGATCTCCTTCTATGACAGGGCGACCAGATTATTGGATGAGGGAAAGGCTGTGGATGTTGTCTACCTTGACTTCAGTAAGGCCTTTGACACCGTTTCCCACAGCATTCTCCTGGAGAAACTGGCTGCTCATAGCTTGGATGGGCACACGCTTTGCTGGGTAAAAAACTGCCTGGATGGCTAGGCCCAGAGAGTTGTGGTGAATGGAGTTAAATCCAGTTGGCAGTCGGTCATGAGTGGTGTCCCCCAGGGCTCGGTGTTGGGGCCACTCCTGTTTAACATCTTTATTGATGATCTAGACGAGGGGATCGAGGGCACCCTCAGTCAGTTTGCAGATGACCCCAGGTTGGGTGGGAGTGTTGATCTGCTCGAGGGCAGGGAGGCTCTGCAGAGAGACCTGGACAGGCTGGAGCCATGGGCTGAGCCCAACTGGAGGAGTTTCCATAAGGCCAAATGCCGGGGGCTGCCCTTGGGCCACAACAACCCCCAGCAGCGCTACAGGCTTGGGGAGGAGTGGCTGGAGAGCTGCCAGTCAGAGAGAGATCTGGGGGTGTTGACTGACGGCCGGTTGAACAGGAGCCAGCAGTGTGCCCAGGGGGCCAAGAAGGCCAATGGCATCCTGGCTTGTGTCAGCACTAGCGTGGCCAGCAGGGACAGGGAAGGGATCTGACCCCTGTACTCGGCACTGGTGAGGCCGCCCCTCGATTCCTGTGTTCAGTTTTGGGCCCCTCACTACAAAAAGGACATTGAATGACTCGAACATGTCCAGAGAAGGGCAACAAAACTGGTCAAGGGTCTGGAACACGTGTCCTATGAGGAGAGGCTGAGGGAACTGGGAGTGTTTAGTCTGGAGAAGAGGAGGCTGAGGGGAGACCTCATCGCCCTCTACAGCTACCTGAAAGGAGGGTGCAGAGAGCTGGGGATGAGCCTCTTGGTTATAACCAAGTAATAAGTGACAGGACAAGAGGGAATGGCCTCAAGTTGCACCAGGGAAGGTTTAGGCTGGATATTAGGAAGCATTTCTTTACAGAATGGGTTGTTAGGCGTTGGAATGGGCTGCCCAGGGAGGTGGTGGAGTCCCCATCCCTGGAGGTGTTTAAGAGTTGGGTTGACATAGCGCTGAGGGATCTGGTGTAGTTGGGAACTGTCAGTGTTAGGTTAATGGTTGGACTGGATGACCTTCAAGGTCTTTTCCAACCTAGATGTTTCTGTGATTATTGTTCTTTAATGAACAGTAATACCATTCTAGCTGTGTGACCCAATGCCTTTCTCCAATAACACTTTAAATTGTGATATATATTAATCTGTACAATAGGCAAAGATTATTGATACATAAAAATGTATGAACATTACAGGAACATAGGCAATTGTGGTTCAGAAGGAAAAAGATAAGTTATCCATAGCTTTAGCATTCATCAAACTCTGTTATCACCAGTGTGGAGATGCACACAGATCTTGAGAATGTGATGTACACTTTTTAATGCAAACAATGACAAAATGCAAAGAAACAGTAAGAGCAGCACTGCAAATCTACATGTCCCTTGAATGCATGATTGACTTTCCCTTGGACATTTACTTTAATTTCTTCTTGTTTAGTTTAACCCTAGTAATACCCTACTTGAAGACTTAATTTAATCTCTCTCTGCAGTGCTAGCACATAGCAAAACAAATAGAACACAAAACATCTGTTACAGTTATTTTGATGAAGAAAATCTTATTTAAATAAAGCACATCTTTAAAATTGCCATAAGGAGCAATAATGGTATGGAGCTCAGGGTTATGAAATACAGAATGCTGCTTGCAGCTCTGTCTGTAACAGCAGCAGCTGACTTTCTGGAGCCAGGAATGTGTTCATCAATGAAGGCAGATAAGCATGAATGGTACTAATGGTAAGTACACATCTTATGTACTCAGATTGTCAGTTTTGGTGATTCTCTGGGTCTGATATTTGGAACTATTGTGCCTTGGTCTTTCAGAGCTTAAAGACTACAATTAAACTTCAGAACACATGCAGAATTCTTGCAGCATTTTTACTGATTTCAGTCAGCAAGGACATGGTAATTAAGTCATCACAACATCTTGGGGTCTTGTCTGTCCCTTAGCACCCCTTTGCATAAATTACTTTTTGTGAAGCTCTTTACTGTTGGCCA